CAATGCACAAGGCATCGTGGTCCTGCAAGCACGAGACAGTAACACGCACATTTCGTTCAACGGCGTACTCTACGTCCCAAACCTTCGTTTCAATCTTCTCCCGGCAGGACAACTTCGTGACTGCGGCGTCATCCTCACCACGGACCTCGCCACACGCGATCTCATTCTCACATACGCCCCTCCAGATACCCCTCCCGAGTCGTTCAAATATCTCGGACGAGCCCGCTCGATCAACGGCATCTACGTCCTCGACTTCGACGTACCTTCCTGCCAAGCTTCATCCGACGAGCTCGTGGACCTCGTCCCCCTTGAGTTCGCCTACATGGGCAAGGAATCATGGGAGCACCCGGACGGACGACCATGGGTTCGCCACAGTCCACATCCCCGCGAAATCAACCTGCACGAGCCAGATATCAATGGACTCTGCACCACCTGCCATGCACCCACGGCGAGCCGCACAGAACAAGTCGAAAAGGAGTACGCGGCAATTCAGGAAGCAGAGAGCGCCGAGGCAGAACCAACAGGCATGACTACAGAAGAACTCGCGGTGTCGTCTTACCGCATCTTCGGCGAAGCAAACGACGACCTCGGACTTCAGCGAGAGGAGCGGACAGCGCCATCCTCGGAAAACCTCCGGTTCGTCCTGGAAGCTAACACCACCACCCTCGACGAAGATGGACGACCGCGTCCTTACACCCGCGAAGTTTACCGCCGCGAAATTGACCCGGCTTGGAAAGATCCTGACGCACCAGAGGAGCTCAGCGTCAAGGAAGAAGAAGACAAGGCCCGGGCGGAAAAGAAACAGAAACTGTTTGAGGAACGTGTCGCGGCTGGATGGGACGAGGAGTCAGCACGACGAGGCGCATGGGGAGATGAAGATTACGAACCAGAAGAAGGCGCAACCTGGGGATCCGCCACTGGAGCATGGGGAGCCAGCGCCAGCGGCGCGGTCACCACGGGAGGATGGGGCAACACCAGCGGATGGGGAGGAGACGAATACGCAGACGCTCCGCTCACCAAAGAAGAAGAAGAAGAAGCGATAGAACGCGAGATGAAAGCTGAGCGTGGAGAACCATCCCCTCGTGTCGCCATTCCACTCGGACGACCCCCGCGCACCCGCTCACCTCCCTCCTCCCCCTATCGGTGGCGTGATCGATGGTCGGAGATTGAGGAGGGGAATGTACCGCCAACTCCTCCGCGGGACTCACTTGGTCCAATCTCCCGCCCAGATCCGTTCGCTCGATTCATTGAAGGTACCACGACTCCGCTCACTATCATCCCCGACCGCAAATTCCTCGCCCTCTACCTCACAACGGCACCTGCAGAAGGGGAGACAACGGGGGAAGCGGAAGCAGAAGCAGAGGAGCCGGACAACGAAGCAGAACCAGGAGAAGAGAAAGAACCCCCACTCCAGATCCCGCAAGTCACGGAAGCAGAAGCGGCAGAATACCTCGCTCGCTACAGGCGCACTTCCGGCATCCGCGCCGAAGATGATCTCTGGCACCAGCGGCTGGGACACCCCTCGCGTCAGACCCTCGCCAACTGCCTCCGCGCTAAAGTCTTTCCGCCAGGAGCAGTGCTGCGCCCCGACGGAACAGAACCACACAACACCCCTCACCCAGTCACCTGCACTGTCTGCCCCACAGCTGCTCTCTCCCACAGCGCCTACCCCTCCCTGGAGCCGAGCACCAACCGCTACAAGAAGTTGGAAAATGTATACAGCGATTTCATCGTGCTCACCTTCGACGCCATCAACGGCGAGAAATATACCCTCACCTTCATTGACGCCTACTCGCGCCATGTGTGGATCGCCAACGTCGACGCTCGCTCCAAGGCTCCGGAAGTATTCCGCATCTTCCTCGCGCACGCGCAGCGCCAGTCAGGAAGGAAGCTGAAGATCTGGCAGAGTGATGGGGCTAAGGAATTCCGCAGCAACGAACTGGAGAGTGTCCTCACAGAGAAGGGGATCAAGCATGAGATCTCACTCCCCTACGCTCACCAGCAGCAAGGCGTCGCAGAGAGGGTTAACCGCACCCTCATGACAAAAGTGCGCGCACTCATGAACTAGTCCGGCCTGCCGAAGAAGTTCTGGCCCTACGCCATGAACCACGCGGTGCGCCTGCACAACCTCCTCTCCACCACCGCCAACAGGGACAACCTGTCCCCTCACATGAAGTGGACCGGCTCAAGGGGAGACCCCTCCATGCTAAGGGTCTGGGGGTGCATGGTGCAGTACCGGCCCACATCGGCCACCATCGGCAAGTTCGCTCACCGCGCGCGCTGGGGGGTCCATCTGGGCCTCAGTAATGAGCACAAGGGTTGGCTCATCCTCGACATGGACCGCAAGGAGATTGTTCCCGCGCGTGATATTCTCTTCTACGAACGGCTCACCTTAAAGCAGTGGATCGCGGACGAGCGACGCAACGAGGCACGCGGCTATGTGAACAGCGGTCGCAGCTTCGCGACTCCAGAAGACGAGGCAGCAGCAGCAGCACTGGACCGCGACGACACCGACGAACACCCCAGCATCCCGCCTCACCCGCGCGACGACGACGACGATGACAGTGACGACGATCCCGCGCCAGGTCCATCACGGCGCCAAGCAGAGGCAAGCACCACAACGCCCGGCTACGAGAGCGGAGATGACGACGTGGTGGAAGTTCCCACCAACACAGACACCACCAATGTGTCCGGCCTGCAACTACTCGGCCTACACACGTCCGTCACTACTCTCGCACGGGCCGTGGAGCCAAAGAATCCTCGCTAGGCTCTGACCGGTCCTCACGCCAAGGAGTGGCGTGCAGCGATGGATGCGGAGCTGAAAGCGCTGGAATCTCGAGACACGTGGGTCCTAGTCGATCGTGCAGCAGTGAAGGGGAGAAGGGTACTCAGCGGAAAATGGGTTTTTCGCCTGAAGACTAACGCTGACGGAACCATCGAGCGATTCAAGGCACGCTGGGTCGTACGTGGGTACGATCAGCGCCGCGGCATCGACTTCGACCAGACCTTCGCTCCCGTCAGTCGTCACACCTCCGTCAGAATCCTACTCGCCATTGCCGCCGCTAAGCACCTACCACTGCGACAGATCGACGTGAAGAACGCGTTTCTATACGCGTTGGTGGACGCCACCATCTTCGTGGAGCAGCCTCACACCTACGGTGAAGGGGATCCTAGGGTCTGTCAGCTGAAGAAGTCCCTCTACGGGATCAAGCAGGCGCCCCGTCTCTGGCAGCAGCATCTGCACAAAATTCTCCTGGAGATCGGTTTCAAGCAGCTGCCGCACGACCCGGGAATGTATCGCCTTCACTTCAGCGGCGATTACATCCTCCTGACAGTCTACGTCGACGACCTACTGTACACGGGCACCTGCAACAAACTCCTTAACCAGTTTGAGGAGAACCTGGCGCAGCGCGTGGACATCACCATCAACCACAACGTGAAGCAGTTTTTGGGGCTAAACATCACCTACGCGCCAGAAGCAATTCACCTGTCAGCCTCAAAGTACGCAGAGCAGCTGGGGGAACGCTTCAACATCTCACCCGCACCACTCTCAACTCCCTACCGCAACCCCAGCGCCAACTACAAACCGGACAACAGACCTCTGTCACCCGCAGGACTCCAAATGTACCAGCAGAAGTTGGGGTGCCTGCTATTCGCCTCTGTCACCTGCCGCCCCGACCTCTCGTACATTGCTAGCCAACTGGCACAGTATTCCCGCAAGCCAGTAGCTGAGAACCAGCTGGACCTGGAGCGCGCCCTGCAGTACTTCATCTCCACACCTGACATTGGGCTCTCCTACTCCACGCTGACGACCACCTCCTTCAGCCTCAACGGCTACGTGGACGCAGATCATGCAGCTGACCCTGCAAATCGACGGTCCCGAAATGGCTTCGTTTTTCGCTTGGAACCAACTGGGCCAATCTCCTGGAACTCGCAGAAGCAGGAGCTGGTTGCTCTGTCATCGGCTGAAGCAGAATACATCGCCGCGCGAAGGCCTGTACCTGCAGGAGCTGCTACAGGAGGCGAAAATTCCAACTTCGCCAACCTTTCGCCTCCACTTCGAGAACCAGAGTGCCATCAGGATCGCGAACAAGCCAGGTTTCGTGAACCGCACGAAGCACATCGCACTCCGGTACTTTTTCGTCAATGACGAAATTGACCAAGGAAAAGTTGACCTCGCCTACTGCCCGACTACTGAGATGGCAGCAGACTTCCTCACCAAGCGCATGCCACGTCAGCAGTACAAGCACTGCTCTGAACTCACCGGAGTAGTCAAGCGAGTCAGCTCCTCCTGCGCCCAGGAATGAAGGGGAGTGTTACGATATGAAATTGCATGAGTAGGCATTCCTGTATGCTGCAGGAGCCGACTCTACCGAGTATGAAGTCGAGGAGTCAGAAGAGTCGAAGCGACGCAGCAACCGTCTGACCAAGACCGATGCAGGCAGAAACATTTGAAGTGAAAAGAGCGGGAACAGGTTTGAAACGGGTTCCCGCGCCGCACGGTTTGAATTTGGTTAGAATAAGGGAATGTACCCCTTAGAGTACATGGCTAGTCTAGGTCTTTTCGTATTCCCCTGTACTCTTATATAAACCCGATGTATGCATGCTTTTATCAAATCAGTCATTTACATTCACTCTGACCTGAGATTCAAACTTCCGCTGCAACACTACTCTGCGATCAACCCAGAGCGATCCTTTTTTCGCTAAGTCCCACTTGGGATTGTAACAAGAATGTTTCGAATTACTCGCCCCACCTCCTCTCCATAATCTTCCTGTGCATGATGCCCCACCTGCTCGGAAAGGAATTCATGCAAGGAAAGCAGAAGAAAACAACAGCGAAGAAAAATGAATATGAGGCGGGACAAAGAAAAAAGGGGCACAAAGAGCAGGATATAGTTGGCACAACACATGTGGGGACAGCTTAATGAAAGTTAAGGGATGCTTTTGCAACCTAAGAAAACATCTTGTCTTCATTTCCTCAACACTCACTTCGTCTAGAGTCAGAGTAACAGCCCCTGCTGCGCGTCCCGATCCCCATCAAATAACTGCCAGCGGTCCTTCATGCCCCACATGACCGTGGCTGCGGAGGAGGGCTGGCGTGACAGTGGCCCCACCCATGCATCATTCCCTCTACACTCATCTCGAGTAGAGTCACAAGCGCCGCCCCTGCCGCTCAACACACTTCACGAACTCCTTGGAAGGACAGCCAGCGGACCTTCATGCCGCAGATGACAGTGGATGAGGAGGAAGGCTGGCTTTACCCCAAGAACTGGCACTATGGGTGAGGCGACTTTTGAGTCGACTCAAAAGTCACCTAGATGACAGCGGATGAGGAGGAAGGCTGGCTTGACCCCGGGAACAGGCAATATGAGGCTTGACAGTGGCACCACCCATGCCTCATCTTCTCTACACTCACCTCGTCTAGAGTCACAAGAACAGCCCCTGCTGCCCAGCACGCTTCTCGAATGCCATCGAAGGACTGCCAGCGGTCCTCCTTCATGCCCCACATGAGGAGGGCTGGCGTGACACATACTCTTGTTTCCTCTATCTGCACTCACCTCGTCCAGAGTCACTAGAACAGCCCCTGCTGCCCTACAAGCGTCAGGATCCCCGTCAAAGGACTGACAGCGGTCCTCCTTCATGCCCCACATGAGGAGGAGGGTTGGCGTGACATTGAGACGTTTTCATAACTTACTACCAAGTGAGGGTCCCCCTTCCTCTGTCCGTACTGAGACGTTGCCACTCACCTCGTCCAGAGTCACAAGAACGGCCCCGGCTGCCCTGCACGCCTCCCTGACCCCGTCAAACGACTGCCAGCGGTCCTTCATGCCCCACATGACAGTGGGTCAGGAGGGAGGGAGGGCCGACTTGACACACAGAGCCCTACCTATGCCTCGTCCTCTCTACACTCACCTCGTTTAGAGTCACTGGAATGACCCCATCTTCCCTGCACGCCTCCCTGACCCCGCCAAACGACTGCCAGCGGTCCTTCATGCCCCACATGACAGTGGCTGAGGAGAAGGGTTGGCGTGACACTGAGATGTTTCAGAACCTGTTTCCTTCGTCTGTACTCACCTCGTCTAGAGTCACAAGAACGGCCCCTGATGCTCTGCACACTTCCCAGACCCCGTCAAACGACTGCCAGCGGTCCTTCATGCCCCACATGACAGTGGGTGAGGAGGGAGGGCTGGTGTTTCCTCTGTCTGTAGTACTCACCTCGCCTAGAGAAACCGGCACAGCCAGTGCTGCACTGCACGCTTCCCTGACCCCGTCGAAGGACTGCCAACGGTCCTTCATGCCCCACATGACCGTGGCAGAGGAGGAGGAGGGGACGGCTGGTGTGACTCATCTCCGCCCCATCTTCTCCTTACCACTCACCTCATCTAGAGTCACAAGCACCGCCCCAGCTGCCCTGCATGCCTCCCTGACCCCATCAAAGGACTGCCAGTGGTCCTTCATGCCCCACATGATAGTGGGTAAGGAGGACGGCTGGTGTTTCCACTGTCTGTAGAACTCACCTCGTCTAGAGCAACCAGCACAGCTCCTGCCGCCCTACACGCTTCCCTGACGCCATCAAACGACTGCCATTGGTCCTTCATGCCCCAAATGATAGTGGATGAGGAGGAGGGCTGATGTTTCCTCTGTCTGTAGAACTCACCTCGTCAAGAGCAAGCAGCACAGCTCCTGCCGCCCTACACGCTTCCCTGACGCCATCAAACGACTGCCAGCGGTCCTTCATGCCCCACATGACAGTGGGTGAGGAGGAGGGCTGGTGTTTCCTCTGTCTGTAGAACTCGCCTCGTCTAGAGCAACCAGCACAGCTCCTGCCGCCCTGCACGCTTCTCGGACCTCGTCAAACGACTGCCAGCGGTCCTTCAAGCCCCACATGACAATGGGTGAGGAGGAGTGCTGGTGTTTCCTCTGTCTGTAGAACTCGCCTCGTCTAGAGCAACCAGCACAGCTCCTGCCGCCCTGCACGCTTCTCGGACCCCATCGAAGGACTGCCAGCGGTCCTTCATTCCCCACATGACAGTGGCTGAGGAGGAGGGCTGGCTTGACAGTGGCCCCACCCATGCCTCATCTCCTCTGCACTCACCTCGTCTAGAGTCACAAGCACCGCCCCAGCTGCCCTGCATGCCTCCCTGGCCCCATCAAAGGACTGTCATCGATCCTTCATGCCCCACATGACAGTGGATGAGGAGGAGGGCTGGCATGACACTGAGACGTTTCAGAACGTGGTTCCTCTGTCTGTACTCACCTCGTCTAGAGTCACAAGTACCGCCCTTCTTTCTCGACATGCCTCCCGAACCCCATCGAACGACTCCTAGCGATCCTTCATGCCCCAGATGACTGTGGAAGAGGAGGAAGGGAGGGCTGGCTGGACATACGGAGCCACGGTGACTCCTCCTACGCTGACTCTCGCCCCGATCGCCGCTCCTCTCAGGGATATGGCTTTACACTTTGCAACGGCCTCATTAGCTAGTGCTCCACTCACTCCTCCTCCGTCTGACTTTCCTCCTGTGAGGCTGAGCTGTACGCTGGCACGTTGGCAGCTCAGAAGGCTCGTTGGCTCTCCTATCTTCTTGCTGAGTTGGGCCACTCTCAGCCCTTTGTGACGCTTGCATGTGACAGTGCGAGCATGATTCATCTTACTGAGAATCCTGCCTATCATGCTCGCAGTAAGCACATTGAAGTGCGGTACTTCTTCATTTGCGAGCTGGTGCAGTCTGGCTTTCTACGTCTTCACAAGGTAGCGTCGGATGCCAACCTTGCTGATATCTTCACGAAGGCCCTCCTTCGTGCGCCGCATCGCTTCTACGTGCGCGCTCTTGGTCTCTCTCGCCTCTCCATTTCAAGGGTTGTTCTGGTTCGCTAGAAGCTCCTCTTCAGTGCTTCACCTAGCCTGGGGGTGTGTTGGAGTATGCTAGTTTCCGCTCTTTTTCTTATTTTGGCCATATATTATGTTTTCGGCCAGTTTAGACTTTGGTTCAGTTCTGGTTCAGTTTAGGTTCATTTTGGGGCTTTAACTGAACGCACCCTAGGTTCATTTAGGGTTTTCAATTCTCTTCCTCAAATGTATCTCGACACTTCTTGCTAAGATAGCAATTCCTTCCCGTTCACTAGCCATAGCTGCCAGCTTAACTTTAACAGCTAAGACCGAGATGTTGTGATTGTTGCCATTGCCTTTTGCATCATTGTATCCAACCTTTGCTAGTGAAACTCTTGCCAATTCGCCTTGTGAATGAGCAAGTAGAGAGAACATGAGCAAACGCTATGATCACTCGTGCTTTCCCCACGTAGTCTAACTCCCGGTGCAGAGTGACTCTCTGCACAATCAAGTGTGCCGACGTGGTATTGGCCCTAAGCGATGCATCATGCTGTACGCTTGCGCAATCCCCTTTCAACAACGCCAACAAAGGGGATCTTTCCTCTCACCTCAATTTCACTGGGAAGACATGCGATCTCTCCATGCTCCGGGCATGGGGCTGCATCACCCCCCAAGATACATCCGGGAAGTTCACTCGGGCATGCGCAATGGTGAATTCACTTGAAAATCAGCTTCGAGCACCAAGCACGGAAAATCCCAGATTACGAGACCTCCAACGTCGTCCCAACCTGGGATGTTACCTTCAACGATGAGCTAAACATCGACCGATTTTGCGAAGACCGCCACAACCACCACGTCCGGTCCGACGGCATCAGTACCCCATAAAATACTACCTCCGCCCATTTCATAGCTACGCTTACCCAAAATACGAAGCGGTTGCCAGGCTCGTTGAACTGGACCTAGTCGTTAACAACCACCATAAAGTAGCGCTCGTGGTCCTGTCCACGGACGCGGGGGGCGCCCCACACGTCCATGTGGAGAGTCTGCAGAGGAGCAGTGTTCGGAGGAAACGAGGAGGAGTGAGGAGCGGCGCGCTGCCGCCCCTCGACGCAGGGAAGGCACGGCGGTGCAAGCGAGCGCAGGAGCGGGGGCAGGGACCTGGGGAGGCCAGCGACAAGGAGACGAGAGTGCATGCCACGCAGGCGTGGTAGGGAGGGGTGACCAAGACGGTGGTGCCAGAGGAGAGATGGGTGCGTGAGAAGGCGCCACGAACAAGACGCAACTAACTGACCCGACGCAGCCACCTGACCTGACGCAGCCACATGTGCGGACTCAGTGGTCAGTGTGTACATTCCCGACCCAAGTCTTCGTGTGAACGTAGCGAGGTGGCGGCCTCCGTGAGCACGTACTGATCGCCACCCGCTCACCCCCAGGAGTAGTGGTAGTGACCAAGTTCGTAGAGAACGAGGGGAGGTGGAGACCTGGGAGAGAGCCGGAGGGGACCGCCGGACACGGGAGGACAGTGGAGGCTCGTGCAATGACTGTGCCCCCAGAGGGGTCAGCCAGAGCGACTGGGACAGGTGCTGTAAGCGTTGTGACTGTGGTGCAATCGCGAAAGAAGCTCCGAGACGCGCCTGAGTCAAGTGTGAAAATGTGCAAGTCTTCAGCAGAAGCAGTACTTGCTGCAGCAGACTCACAAGCACCTAGAGCAGCAGCCTCTACACCAGCAGCGTGAGGCACACACAAGTAACAGTCACCCTCAACACTAGCAGAACCATCATAGATAGCATAGATTCCAGCATTGATCTTGTCGAAGTCAAGAGGAAACACATCCACCACCTTCGCTAGCAATCCTAACCAGTTGGGGATCTCCTGATCATCTCCATACTCGGTGCACCAAGCATCCTCAAGACAGAAGAAGCAGCGGTACTCAGTGTGCCCAGCCTTCCCGCAGGGGTCACCAGTCCTGGGACCCGTGCGCCTGATGTACGGGCAACGAACACTACCCCCAGAGGAGCCACGCTGGACAACCCACTCACGAAGCTGCTGAGGGGTGAGTGGCTCCTGCTGGCGTGGCTGCTGCTGCTGTCCACCCCCAGTGCCTCCGCCGCCACGAGCTGCACCCCCAGTCGCCGCCCCATAGCCTCCACCCCTGCCAGCTCCACCCCGACCGCCACCCGAGCCCCCTCCGCCCACTCCACCGCCTCCACCACCCCCGCCACCTCCACTGCCGCCACCACTGCCTCCACCCCCGCCACCACCACCGCCACCACCCCCGCCACCACCCCCGCCAGCGCCACCCCCACCACCCTTACCCCCCTTGCCGTTGCCGCTGCGGTGCCTCCCACTAGGAGCAGACGCAGCACCGACCTCCTCCGTACGAAGGAAGTCAACAGCAGCAGCAGAGGCAACAGATGGCGCGAGAAGGGAGGGAGAACACCCCTCAAAGAAGGGGGAGCGGGGAGTGCCACGAGAGGTTGCTACAGCGACCGTGTTGGTCTCGGCCTCGAGGACATGCTTCTCCAGCAAGGCAAGCGTAAGCTCAGTGGGGTCAAGAGCGAGGAAGTGATCCCTAACGGCGCGGAGGGAGTCAGGGAGGCGAGTAACGAGGTAGTAAAGAGTGATGTACATCGGGGGCTGGTTCGCAGTCAGAAATGCCGGCTTGAGAGCGGCGCGGTAGCGAGCGTCACTAGAGCGAAGGTGGGTCATGAGGTCAGCGACAGTGTGGAAATCCGATAGCTCAGGAAAGAGGTACAGCAACATGATACGACCTAGGGCAACACTAGAGGGGGAGGAGTAGCGAGCGACTACGGCATCATATAGCTCCTTGGCCGTCTTAAGCTGGCCAAAATGGACCCGTTCATCTAGCGGGAGGGCATTGCGGACAAAAAGGTGGGCGGCATCATCGCGCGTGAGCCACTGGGTACGAAGAACACGATCAGCTGACTCCTCTGGGGCAGGGTGAGAACCGGACGTGTGCTCTACCGGAGAGACGTCCTCCCTAGCTATGCTCTGCAGGTACAGCTGGAGATCCGCGGGCCAGCAATCAAACCTAATCGGGCGGCCCTCCGCGTTAAAGGTAAGGACATTAAGAGTATCCATAGTAGGCAGTAGCAGCAGCAGCAGTAGCAGCAGCAGCAGCAGCAGCAGCAGCAGCAGCAGTAGCAGCACCAGCAGCAGCAGCAGTAGCAAGCAGGTGCGGCAGCTAGGCAGGGCGGCTCAGCTGGGCGGTTCGGCAGGGCAGCGCGGCTCGGCTGGGCGGCGCGGCTCGGGCAGGGCGGCGCGACTCGGCAGGGCGGCGCGGCTCAGGCAGGGCAGGGCGACTCGGCGCAGGCAGCAGCAGCAGCATAGGCAGCGCACGCGCGAGTGGCGGGTCGCGCGCTAGGCAGCGTCCTGCACGCGCAGGGCGCAGGCAGTGCGCGTGCCGCTGTGAGCTGACGGGCGGCTCAGCAGGCGGGAAGGACAAACGCGACGGGAGGGACATGAGCAACGAGGGACAAGAGCGACGGTTCTTGCTATCTTTCTGCGCATCCTGCATGCGAGCGATAGGATTGGGAGTGTATGAGGGGTGGGACCGATGGAAGCGACGAGAGCTATGGGAGCGACGAGAGCTAAGGGAGCGACGAGAGCTAAGGGATCGACGGGAGCGACGGAAGGGCTGGGAGGCAAGTCATGACAGTCGTGAACGACGATTGCGAGGGTCCTAACCTGATCGAAGGGTGAGATCTGAAGGACGTGGGCGGGAAGTGTTAGGCAGAATGACTGATCGCGCGAAAAAAAGCTTCAGCGCGGTGTACGATTCACGGAATGACGGGCTAAGAAGCCTACTACGTCTAGAGTCTAGAGTGGTAAAGAAAGCTTTCAAGTTGTGAGAAGTCTGAACAGTATCGTATGCGTTGTTTTTTATGGCGAGGGTGGTTGTGGAAATGCCTGTGCTGTATCTGGCCAATCAATGCCTCGCGCTTCAATTCCCTCTCGGTGGGTCGCGAGGTGCTAGCAGATCCAAACCGGGTTACCTTGTTCCTTGGCGAATTCTAGTTCAAGAATCTTGAACTTGAACCCTTGCCATTCTAGACTCGGGCTTTAAAAGCAACCTAGTCACGGTAGAGTATGTCAAAGGAGAAGTTACAGGCAGCAGCTTTTGTCTAACTGTACTTTGAACAAGTGTAGTCTCTCCAAACCAGAACCATTCTCAAACGGGGATACTAACTGTGAACAGGGGAAACTGGCATAACCGCGCATGAACCATAGAATACCGCATCAAAACGCTGTGCCTGCACCTGCCATCCCCTTGGTGATTTCAAGTCTTGACTCTTGAGGCTCGAAAGCTCCACTTCCCCAGAAGCTGTACGGACACTCTCTGGTCAGTTCCCATTCCCAGCGTCTGCTATTTTGACCCGTAGCTGGTTAGGTAATGCTAGGCATTCTTCTAAAGTAGCCGTCCATTCCATACTTGTGTCAGATCGCCTCGACTGCAGTAATCGCCCGCCGAGCGGCACGCGTTAATCGAGACGATTTATCGAGAGATTAGACGAATACGAGTAATTGCACTGTCTTTCGTGGATGACATACCACATGGCGGAAAGGCGGCGAGCGGGAGGGGTGAGTCATAAGAATACGAGTCAGGCGTCATCGTTACCATATTTCGAGGTGACTTTTGAGTCGACTCAAAAGTCACCTCGAGTCAGGCGATATCGTTACCATATTTCGCCATTTCGCTAAGATTGCGGGCACTATGAGTGGAGGAGAGAACCGGAGGGGTGGAGTGTGGTGTGGGGGGTTTGGGTGAGAGAGAGGATCATGAGTGAGGTGGGTATGGAAAGAGAGCGAACCATGGTAAGGCGAGGGAAGAAAGAAGGGGTAGGTAAGGGGGAAGCGGAGGTGAGAGAGGGGATACTGAGGTGGCGGTGCAAGCGCGCAGCCTTTGAGGCGCGCGCAATAATGAGCTGCGCGCAGCCTTTGAGGCGCGCGCAATAATGAGCTGCGCGCAGCCTTTGAGGCGCCTCAAAAGTCGTCTCTTATCCCGCAATAATGAATGAGGCGGTGGTGCAAGCGCGCAGCTCTCAAGATAGCTTCCCTTGCCTACTTTTCCCCCCTTCCCTTCCCCCTCCCTCTTCTCCCCCCCAGCCCCGTCCCCTCACCATGGGGCGCAACGCAAGCGCGCAGCCCTCCCCCGCCTGCTCTCCCCCAGCACCTCCCCCTTGGGCTTTGGGGGCGGGGTGGATGGGTCGGGCGCCACTTTCAAGATGGCCCTGCTTGGCCTCACTGTTCCCCGTCACTGTTCCCCCTCATTGTTCCCCCTCCCCTTCTCTGCTCTCCCCTTGGGCTTTGGGGGCGGAGGGGATGGGACCAGCACCACTTTCAAGATCGCCCTGCTTGGCCTCACTGTTCCCCGTCATTGTTCCCCCTCATTGTTCCCCCTCATTGTTCCCCCTCATTGTTCCCCCTCCCCTTCTCTGCTCTCCCCTTGGGCTTTGGGGGCGGAGGGGATGGGACCAGCACCACTTTCAAGATGGCCCTGCTTGGCCTCGCTGTTCCCCGTCATTGTCCCCCCTCCCCATCCCTGCTCCCCCTCCTCTTCCCCGTCCCCTCTTCCACACCTTGTTCCCCCTCCCCTTTCCCCCATCCCCCCCCTCCCCCAGCCCCGTCCCCTCACCATGGGGCGCAAGCGCGCAGCCCTGCCCCGCCTGCTCTCCCCCAGCACCTCCCCCTTGGGCTTTGGGGGCTTTGGGGGCTTTGGGGGCGGAGTGGATGGCTCCAGCGCTACTTTCAAGATCGCCCTGCTTGGCCTCGCAGCATGCCTCTTCTGCCTGCTTATCCTCGTTATAGTCGTCCTCTTTGCCCTGGTAAGTCATCCCCGTTATAAGCACCCTTCCTGTCTGCTGGCCCGTTATCACCACAATCCCACCACATTCCCACCACACTCCCATCCCATCCCATCCCATCCCATCCCATTCCAGCCCACTCGCATCACATTTCCCCACCCTCTCCGCTGCTCGTTCCCCTGTCCATCCTTTCCCTGGACTGCACATCGTTAGGGAGCTGTTTTTTAAGAAGAAGAAGAAGAAAAAAAGGCTCTGCTCGTTCCCCTGTCCATCCTTCCCGTCCCTGGACTCCCTTTTCCTGTTGAGGCTCGTATCAAAACAGCTCCCTTCCTCCCCTCTCTCCCTGCCGTGTCCTGCGCTGCCAGCTCATCAGCATGAGGTGGTCGTCTGCTGACGTGGCCGCCAGCTTGGCAGCGCGAGAGTCACTCAGTAAGTAACGAAACCTTGAGGCCTCTAGTCGCAATGCAGGAGTGACAGAACAGCAGAGAGTTCAGAGCGAGTGCCTGAACATATTCATTCTAACTGGTCATGAATAAGAGGCAGAGATTGAGTGAGTGAGTGAGTGAGTGAGTGCATGAGTGAGCGAGTGAGTATTTGAGCAATTCCCAATTCATTCCGTGTCTGAATGGCAGAGAGTGAGAGAGTGAGCGAGTGAGTGAGCGAGTGAGTGGTTGAAAACTTGTCAATTCATCCACTTGCTCGCTCACCCTTGACTGAATTGCCACTCATGAGGGCTGAATGGCTGCATTTGCATGGTCTCTGTATCCTAAACCCAACTCCTGAACTGGAAGCCCTAAACCCTCACTCCTTCCTTCCCCCCTCTCTCCCCTCGTCCCTCCGCCCTCCTGTTTTCACCTCTCCTTGCAGCTGCGGAGGCGCTGAGAGGGAGGAAGGCGCATCCTGGCATGGTGGTGGATCAACAAGGCATGGTAAAATGCTCTATTCATCTCGTCTTCCTTTCCTCCATCCCCTCCCCCTGCCCCCTCGCTCGGCCCTCTTCACCTCTCCTTGCAGCTGCGGAGGCGCTGAGAGGGAGGAAGGCGCATCCTGGCATGGTGGTGGTGGATCAACAAGGCATGGTGGTAAGTGCAGGCGTCGAAATTGTGCATTTTGGCACTTATGAGTTAAGATTTTCCAGCATTCGCCACAGCTCCCAATCCCACTGCCACTGCTGCCAATGCCAATGCCACTGCCACTGCCACTGCTGCCAAGTGACACTCTTTACTCCCTCCTCCCGCTACTCTGTCCGCCCAGCCAAATTCCTCCGCTGCTGCAACTGCCGCCACCACTGCTGCCAATGCCACACACACCACTGCCACTGCTGCCAAGTGACACTCTATATACTCCCTCCCGCTACTCTGTCCGCCCAGCCCAATACCACCGCTGCTGCAGGCAGTAGCAGCTCCCAAAATCCAAACAAAAAGTCTAATAACGAGGGCGGTGCAGCCAATAACGAGGATAAAGATCCAGCTGGCAGTGCTGACGACGACGACGATGACGATGACGAGGCGGGCGGCGGGGGGCTGTCGAGCCGGAGGAAGGAAGGTGCGCGGAAGCTTCAGCAGTGGAGGGAGTTCTTCAGAGGAGTGGTCCTGGTGCTGCACTTTTCCAGGTCAGCTGGGCTGGTTGGGTGGGGGGACATGAGAGTTGGGGATGGGATGGGGAGAGCAGTGTTGGGGGGCAAACCAAATGCAGCAGAAGGGAGTTCTCTTCAGAGGAGTGGTTCTGGTGCTGCACTTTTCCACCTCAGCTGGGCTGGTTGGGTGGGGGGACATGAGAGTTGGGGATGGGATGGGGAGAGCAGTGTTGGGGGGCAAACCAAATGCAGCAGAAGGGAGTTCTCTTCAGAGGAGTGGTTCTGGTGCTGCACTTTTCCACCTCAGCTGGGCTGGTTGGGTGGGGGGACATGAGAGTTGGGGATGGGATGGGGAGAGCAGTGTTGGGGGGCAAACCAAATGCAGCAGAAGGGAGTTCTCTTCAGAGGAGTGGTTCTGGTGCTGCACTTTTCCACCTCAGCTGGGCTGGCGATGGGATGGGGAGGGTAAATGAGTGCTGGGCGCGAAGAGAGGAGGGCTGGTTGCTAGTCAGTTGCATCATCAAGAGAACCCAGCTTCAGCAGCAGTGGGAGGGAATTCTTCAGAGGGGTGGTTCTGGTGCTGCACTTTCCCAGGTGAGTTGGGCTGGGGATGGAGAATGGAGTGTTGTGGACCTATGTTGGCGTATACGCGTATAGCGTATATACGCGTGTCGTATATACGCAAGTGTATATACGCTATACGCTAAGGGCCTCAATCCAGGTCAGTTGGGCTGGGGATTGAGAATGGAGTGTTGTGGACGAGGAAAGGGATGGTGGGAATGGAATTGGTGATGGGTATTCGAGTGCTGGGGACGAAAATATACGTATGCTCTCGATGTGCTTACGTCACTTGTTGACCTACATCTCTTCTAGCAGCGGGGCAGATGCATAAGCTCGTTCTCATGCCTCTTGCTCTGCTGCAGTGAGGTGTATTTTGAGGCGCCTCGAGGTGTATTTTGAGGCGCCTCGAGGTGTATTTTGAGGCGCCTCAAAATACACCTCACTGCACGCAGATGCATAAGCTCGTTCTCATGCCTCTTGCTCTGCTGCAGCAGGCCTGTGAGTTTTGAGACTTCTCAAAACATCAGTTTTATCACGAGTTGGAGGTATGGCATGGCGCCACGTAGTGGCCTGGCCACGCGTGGTGGTAACCATTCAGAGTTGACTTTTGAGTCGACTCAAGTCAGTCGACTCAAAAGTCAGTCGACTCAAGTCAGTCGACTCAAGTCAGTCGACTCAAAAGTCAGTCGACTCAAGTCAGTCGACTCAAAAGTCAGTCGACTCAAAAGTCAACTGTGAGTTGGAGGTATGGCGCCACGTAGTGGCCTGGCCACGCGTGGTGGACTTTTGAGACGTCTCAAAAGGCGCGTAGTGGCCACGCCACGCGTAGTGGTAACCATGCAGAGTTGACTTTTGATTTGAGACGTCTCAAAAGTCGCGTGGTGGCCACGCGTAGCGGTCCTGCGTAGCGGCCGGCCACGCGTGGTAACCATGCAATTCTGTACGGTCCTGTATTCAACTTTGAGACTTTTCAGACCCGTCTCGCAATTCTGTACGGTCTCGTATTCAACGCTGGAGAAAGGGAGCCATGTCTACTCTCATGCTGCTCATGCCTCTTCCCTCCTGCCTGGATCCCCGCTGCTTATGCCTCCTCTCTCCCCCAGGCCTGTGCGGGCATGGCAAACGTGGAGTTCTGGCGGCACGTGTTGTGCTGCTCATGCCGCTTCCCTCCTGCTGCTCACTGCCCCAGGCCAGTGAGAGCATGGCAGACGCTGGAGTTCTGGCGCCACGTGTACGGCCGTGTGTTACAGTCTGCTGTTGCTTGTGCCTCGTGTTGACCTGCTGCCCCCATCCCATGTCTGCACGTATTCCTCACCTCCTCTGCTCCAGGCCCATATGCGCATGGCAAACACTGGAGTTCTGGAGTGCTGCTAATGCATCTTCTCTGTCTTCCTTTCTTCCCTTGCTCGCTTCGTTCGGTTCCGACCACCCCAGGCCCATACGCGCGTGGCAAACACTGGAGTTCTGGCGCCACGTGTACGGCCGAGTATTCGACGATCTGGTGGCGGTGTCAACAGAAGCCATCCCCGAGCTGGGGGTTATCGCGGTATGTATGCTCTCACCCACCCACTCTTCACCTACCTCTTGCTCATGCCTCTTCCCTTCCCTTGCTCATGCCTCTTACCACGTGTACGGCCGAGTATTCGACGATATGGTGGCGGTGTCAACGGAAGCCATCCCCGAGCTGGGGGTCATTGCGGTATGCTCCCACCCACTCTTCCTCTGCTTCTTGCGGCATGCTCCCAACCCTAAACCCACTCCCTCCCACTTCTTCGCATCCACCCACTCCCTCCTCTCACCCACCCTTGTCCACTGCCACAACTCCTCATGCCTCTTCCCTTCTGCCGGCCCCTCTCTCTCCGCCCGTCCCCTCAAACACTCCCTTTTTCCTGTAGTGTTCTGTCCCTCCGCCCACTTTTTTTTAGGCGCCTCAAAAACTGCCGGTTTTTTATGCGCCTCAAAAACTGCGGGTTTTTTATGCGCCTCAAAAACTGCCGGTTTTTTAGGTGCCTCAAACACTGCCGGCCCCTCTCTCTCCGCCCGTCCCCTCAAACACTCCCTTTTTTCTGTAATGTTCTGAGCTGGTTTTTTAGAATTCTCAAAAACCCTTTCTCCGCCTCTAAGGTTCTGTCTCCGCCCACTTCCCACCGTATTACCGCAAACGCCCACTCCCCCTTTTTTTTTTCCCTCCCCCCCGCCTTCTCTCTCCCGCCTCACCACTATCCACCCCCACTTCGTTCCCACACCATCCACCTCACCTCACCATCCTGTGTGTTGTCGCAACGCAATGCCCCTTTCCCCCTCCCCACTCTCCACCCACCACTCCCCACTCCCCCAGGCCACACCTTCCCCTGCTGCCAATGCTGATGCCTCTCTTTCATACACCGCTCTCCCCACCATCATGGAGCAACACGCCTCAGCCTCTCACTGCCTTGCTCTGGGGTGATGTTAATGCCTCTCCCCACTCCCCACACCCCTTGCCCCCAGGCTACACCTTCCCCTGCTGTCAATGCTGACGCCTCTCTCTCCTACACTGCTCTCCCCACCATCATGCATGATGGAGCAACACGCCTCAGCCTCGGGCTTCCTTGCTTCCCCTCTTCCTCTCCCACCCCCTCGCAGGCTACACCCTCCCCTGCTACCAACACCGATGCCTCTCTTTCCTACACCGCTCTGCCCACCATCATGGAGCAACACGCCTCAGCCACTCACTCCCTTTCTCCCTCTCTTTGCTCCCCTCCTTCCTCTCTCCCCTTCCCCCAGGCCACAACCTCCCCTGCTGCCAACACCGATGCCTCTCTCTCCTACACCGCTCTCCCCACCATCATGGAGCAACACGCATCACCCACCCACTTCCTTGCTCCCTCTCTCTGCTCGCTCCTCGTCTTCTCCCCACCCCTCCTCAGGCCACACCTGCTGCCAACGCTGACCCCTCTCTCTCCTACACCGCTCTCCCCACCATCATGGAGCATCACGCATCTGCCTCTGGCTTCCTCTGGCTGGATGACGATGCAGTATTGAACTACTGGACGCTGGCTGATACTCCCCTGGATAAGGTACACCCCTCCCCTTCATAATGAGGTACTCATTACTGGGCCCTGGCTGATGCCCCGCTTGACAAGGTACAGTGTGTGCCGTGCTTCCTGTGCTTTCCATATGCTCCCTTCTGCTGCTTCCTCTGGCTGGATGACGATGCAGTCTTGAACTACTGGACGCTGGCTGATGCCCCTCTTGATAAGGTAAACCCTCACCGCTCACCACTCCCCATGCGCTCTGCTCTGCACTTCTCCTCCTCCTACCTCTGCCTGTATGACGGCGTTTTGCCAAATCACTGAACCCTTGCTTGCTGGTGCGCCGCGCCCCTTGATAATGGACTCGTTATCCCCTGCTGCTGTAGCGCTGCGGTGCCGCCATCCCTCTCCACCCCCCTCCACCTCCCTCCACCCCCCTCCACCCCCCTCCACCCCCCTCCACCCCCCTCCACTTCCGTGCGCCCTGCCCGCATGATTTCTGGTACTTAAACTAGTTGCAACCCCAACCGTGTCCACCCCCTGTTCATGCTCACCATTCTCTCAAATGGTCCGTATATTGATTCTCCCCTTTTCTCAGATTCAACGTGTTTGAAGTAGTGTTTAGAGACGTCTCAAAACGCTGCTTCAAACAAATGGTCCGTATATTGATTCTCTCCCTCTCAGATTCAACCAACCCACCCTCACATCTCGATCTGCTTCCATTCCCCCTCCCACCCCCCCCCCCCCCAACCCCCCTCCACCCCCCTCCACCCCTCTCCACCCCCGCCACAGAACAAAATCTGGTACCTAAACTCTTCCAACCCGAACCACCTCCTGACCCTGCTTTTGGTCTCCATTTACTCCCCTTCCCACCTCTTCCCACCCCTCTCCACCCCTCTCCACCCCCGCCACAGAACAAAATCTGGTACCTAAACTCTTCCAACCCGAACCATCTCCTCACCCTCCCCCTCGACCAACCTCCCTCCGCACCCATCCGCACCGCTCTGGACCCCTCGGATCTCCCCACCCACATCTCCACATCGCTCTCGCACCTCTCAGAATCCCTCCGAGCCCAGCTGGACCGCTCTCTGTGGCCCCGCCACCAAGCCTTCCCCCTCGCCGCCTGCCCCTCATCGGCTTTCTTCATCCCTCAGAGACTGGTCGACTCAGCTGCTCTGCACGTCATCCCTGTCTTTGCTGCTGAGGCAATACCCGCTCAGGTATGTGTTCCTTCCCATGGTGTGTGCCTGAGTGTGTGCTTGCGTGTGTGCGTCCTCGGGTAAAATCAGGTTGCCTGCCCCTCACCGGCCTTCTCCATCCCGCAAAGACTGGTCGACTCGGCTGCTCTGCACGTCATCCCCGTGTTTGCTGCCCAGGCCATACCCGCACAGGTGCGCATGTATGCGCGTGCTCCTTCCCACGCGGTGTGCTTGAGTGTGTGTGTCCTTGGTTGAAAGCAGGTTCCTTCCCCCTTGCCGCCTCCCCCTCATCGGCGTTCTTCATCCCACAAAGGCTGGTGGACTCGGCTGCTCTGCACGTCATCCCTGTATTCGCTGCCGAGGCCATACCCGCACAGGTACGTGCCTGTGTGTGTGTGCGTTCCTTCTCAAGGTGCGTCTCTCCTTGGGTGGAGAGGAAGCAGAGGCTGGTCGACTCGGCAGCTCTGCACGTCATCCCTGTGTTTGCCGCTGAGGCAATACCCGCTCAGGTACGCATGTGTGTATATCTTCCCAACACAGGTACTCTCACCACACTAGCACTCTCAACACGTGCTGCTCTGCACGTCATCCCTTTGTTTCCTCTCACATTGACTGCTTGACGCCTTGGCTCTGAACTCCCTTTCCCCTTCCCTTTCCAGGTGATCATTCCTCTTAGAATTCTCTTCACACCCGGACATCCATAACAGTACAGTACAGCCCCTTGATAAGCTACAAGGCCACGTGATAAAAGACTGGTTATGAGACGTCTCAAAACCAAGCTTCTATCATGTATAGCCCATAACAAGCCACAGAGAGTTTACTCATGTGACATGCCTGCTTCCTGTATTCCCTTGTCCACTGTGCCCCTCTGCATCCCCTCTTCCTTCCTCTCTCCCCTCCTCCCCAGGTGGGATTCCTCTTATCCTCTTCACACTCGAGCATCCATGACAGTGCATCCCTTCAGATACCCACTCATTCTGTGATGCACCCTGGTCTCTTCCCCTGTCCCCCGTGCCCCTCTGCGCACTCCTGCTCTCCCCTCTGCAATCTCCCACTCTCCCCTCCTCCCCCAGGTGGCCATTCCTCTTATCCTCTTTACACTCGAACATCCCAAACTTTACGACCCTCGGGGTTTTACCGATGCCCGAATTTTGAACTCCTCATCTCAGCTAGCGAACCAAGAAACCCAGCTGCAGCAGCAGCAGCAAGGGCAGCAGGGGCAGGGAGGCGGTGTGGGATCGTACACTACAGCAACTACACTTGTTCTACCGTTAGATGTTACGAATCCGGAAGAAAGACACAAGCTGCTTCTTGCGATGCACTCAGGAGATATTTCGCTCAGTGTGTCACATTCAGTATGACGTGCTGTGCTTGTATGACACAAGTTGTATCACACCCGCATTATTGTAATCCCCTAAATACAACTCCCTTCCGATGTTTCATACGGCGGTTACACTATAAAACAAAAACAAAAACAAAGGCGTGGGTGGGTGGGTGCATAATAGAGGTTGCAGTGCGTCCTAAATGTTGGAATGCTATTTCAGCCAAGAAACTAATCATTAAAGCCCGAGTCTAGAATAGCAAGCCTTCAAAAATACTGAACTTGAAACAGGTTTAGCGAAGTGGGAGGAGAGCAGAATTCGCTTGAAACCGTTGGCGAAAGTATAATGCCCCACAGCGTTCGCAATGTATCCTATTCAACTTCAGGAATCTTGAAGACGCATAAACGACAAACAAAATTTCTGTCTCCTCATAAAGCAGGTCACACCACGCAAGCTCCTGAAGTGCAGCGCCCAGCCTACTGATACACGGACTCCAACAACCTCAAAACACACTCGACATGCATACCCAGCCACGTACCTACTTGATGAAAGGCTAGGGGACGATCACACAGCGTCACGTTCATCAGGTTTAGGCAACACTAGGACGTGTACACGTGATGCCGTATTTGGCGTCTACTAACCGCAACCATGTTAGGCCTATCCTAGAACGTTACAGGCCAGAGTCACATGCGGAAGAACGTTCCAGAGTTAGGAGACAACACACGCTGACTCGTTCAACTGCTGTTGAGGTCAAGAAACAGTAGCAGTCACGGCCATGGTAACATAAGAGTAGCGACACTACTCTTGGGCTTCTGTTTCGACAACGCTCATTAGAGCACTAGTGTGTACGGAAACGAGTTGAGAGACAGCCGGGAAGGCGCGGTACAGCAGCTGGAACACATATGCTAATCCCCGTGTTGCTGTGTAGGTGCGCGAAATTGTAAAGGGACGGAAAGGCCTGGCCGGGAAAACAGCGACGGGAAGGTATCGCGATCGTGAAGACGCGAACGGTGAACGGGTAGGGCGCGACAGGAAGTTTCGGACGGGAAAGCAGCGCGTTCGGGACTCGAAAGGGAGAGGTTCTCTGTCGGACGAGAAGGCGCGGACGGGGAGGGCGGAACGGGAGGCGCGGACGGGAAGGCGCGGAACGAAGGGGCGGAACGGAAGGCGCGGACGGGGAGGAATTGCCTGGGCGGAAGGGGCGGAACGGAAGGCACAGACGGGAAGGAATCGGGCGGAAGGGGCGGAACGGAAGGTGCGGAGGGGAAGGCGACCAACCTGCCTTTCAGTGCTGCAAACCGCACTGCAGAACGAACCCTCGTGCAAACAGCACTCTCCACACTCGACGTAATCGCATGCCTCACATGCACGAACGCCCATAACCCTCACCTCATGCTGCCCCTCTCCTCTAGTCACACCCCAATCCGCTGGCCAGATGCACCGAATCGAGAATCCAATGCTCAAGCTTCTTTGTACAGACAAGCCGGAGAGTGTCAAACAATATATGCATGTTTAGGTTATCTAGACTGTATGGGGGTTAGCACTAGGGGGTACAATATTTCTCTCGACATTCTTCTTGTACCCCCCCCTTGACCTAATCACACCATCACTTCCTAGTATTCTAACATGGTATTAAGAGCTAGGACGGTCCTAGCCTAGGACCGTAATTAAGGGCCCACCACATTCGTTTTCACCTGCCCGACCGTTAGTTTCTGCCCTGCCCAGCGTTTCGCGCTGCCCTGCCCTTTTCTGCCGTGCGCAGCCCGTACAATCCGAGTAGGCCCGAGCACAGCCCGTACAGCCCGCGCCAAGCCGTCGCGCAGCCCGTACAGCCCACGCCAGGCCCGCGCGCAGCCAGTACAGCCCGCGTAGGCCCGTCACGAAGCCCGTACAGCCCGCGTAGGCCCATCGCGAAGCCCGTACAGCCCGCGCCAGGCCGTCGCGCAGCCCGTACAGCCCACGTCAGGCCCGCACGCAGCCCGTACAGCCCGCGCTAGGCCCGCACGCAGCTCGTACAGCCCGCGCCAGGCCCGCACGCAGCTCGTACAGCCCGCGCCAGGCCCGCACGCAGCCCTTACAGCCCATGCCTGGCCCGCACGCGGCCCGTGTTACTGCTGCACTCACGCTGCTGCTTCGCTGCTGCGCCTGAACTGCTGCTGCAGTGCTGCTGCCGCGCACTGCCCTGCACCAGCTACGCCGCCCCTGGACCCAGAGCAACCGCCCCTGGCCCCTGAAGCAGCCGCCCCTGGTGCAGCCGCCCCTGGACCCTCGAGCAGCCGCCCCTGGACCCAGAGCAGCCGCCCCTGGCCCCTGAAGCAGCCGCCCCTGGAGCAGCCGCCCCTGGACCCAGAGCAGCCGCCCCTGGCCCCTGAAGCAGCCGCCCCTGGTGCAGCCGCCCCTGGCCCCTGCAGCAGCCGCCCCTGGTGCAGCCGCCCCTGGACCCTCGAGCAGCCGCCCCTGGACCCAGAGCAGCCGCCCCCGGCCCCTGAAGCAGCCGCCCCTGGACCCTCGAGCAGCCGCCCCTGGACCCAGAACAGCCGCCCCTGGCTCCTAAAGCAGCCGCCCCTGGTGCAGCCGCCCCTGGTGCAGCCGCCCCTGGACCCTCGAGCAGCCGCCCCTGGACCCAGAGCAGCCGCCCCTGGCCCCTGAAGCAGCCGCCCCTGGTGCAGCCGCCCCTGGACTCCGTGCAGCCGCCCCTGGACCCCGCGACGCCGCCCCTGGACCCGCGTCGCCGCCCCTCGCCCGGCGAGCGCCTTCTCTTCCCGCCACTGGTGAGCACCTGCCTTGTTAGCGCGCTGCCGCGCCATCTGCCTGCCTGCCTGCCTGCCAGCCTGCCTGCCTGTCTGCCTGCCTGCCTGCCTGCCTGCCTGCCTGCCGCGCCTGCCCTGCCCGCGCTGCTACTGCTGCTACTTCTGTTACTACTGCTAGGCTACTGCTACTGCTACTGCTGCTACTGGCGGTGGCCAGATGCAGCTCCAGCGACGTCCACGCGAGTCTCTCCCGCCCCAGCAGCTTCGTGAGTGGTACGCTAGTTGGGGTTGTGGCGGTAGCCGTCGTAGCTGTCGCCCTGGAGCTGGTCAGTTGGGAGCGTCTGGCAGTAGCCAGCTGCAGCTGCAGCGGCGTCCACGCGAGACACTTACGTCCCAGCAGCTTCACGAGTGGTACGCTCAGAGTAGAGGGTCTTTGAGTACCGTTCGCTGCCCGTACGTCATTCGCACAGGTGATCGGACTGGTCAGGCTTGCGGGACGCTTGGTCACACACAGTCCCGCTGCTTCGCCCGTCTGAGCGACGCCTGGCGTACCGAGTTTGGCGACGAGGCTGAGCTCCCCACCTGGCTGGAGCTGCTTAGGCAGAGGGTAGATATTTTTGCTCTTGACTATGATGCTATTCTCACTGCCATGTATGCATTGCCTACTAGTGCTGACGGTGCTTGTTACCTGTGCGTACCGCCTGACCCAGGTATAGAGCCTGCTGCTCTAGGTGCTGGTGAGGCTGCTGCCCTAGGTGCTGGTGAGGCTGCTGCTCCAGGTGCTGGTGAGTCTGCTCTCTCAGGTACTGCGCCTGCTGAGGCCTTGTACACCTTCACTCTTGACTCACGTGCTTCCCGCTCCTTCTTTCGCGACAGCACCACCCTCACGCCGCTCCGTCGGCCGGTTGCAGTCTCCCTGGCAGACCCCTCTGGGGGTCCAGTCCTTGCGCACTCCTCCACGGTCCTGCCGTGTCCGGCGGTCCCGTCTGGCTTCCTGTCAGGTCTTCACCTCCCCTCGTTCTCTACGAACTTGGTGGGTGGTGCTGACCTCCAGGACCAGTGGGTTGACCAGTTCACCCCTGGAGGTCAGCGTGTGACCCACTGTACGTGCTCCTGGACTGGTCGGCACCTGGCCACGTTCACCCGAGCGCCTGGCTCGAGTCTGTACACACTGACTACTGTGTCCCCTCAGGTAGCTGCGTCTGCGTCTGCGTTTGCGCCAGGTCAGCTAGCGGCCCCCCTGCTTGTGTCGCGCTTTGTCGCACCAGACCCTCCTTTGGCACCACCGCCTTGGTCACCCCTCGGTGCAGCGCCTTCATAGCATGCACCGCCATTTCCTTGTTTCTGGACTTCCAGAGACTCTGCCTCCTCTACCACCCTCGCCTGCTCCTCCCTGTCTTCCCTGTGTCGAGGGGCGGCAGCGCGCCGCTCCTCACTCCTCCTCGTTCCCTCCCACAGAGGCTCCCCTGCAGACTCTCCACCTGGACGTGTGGGGCCCAGCCCGCGTCCGTGGACAGGGCCACGAGCGGTACTTCCTGCTGGTCGTCGACGACTACACGCGTTACACCACGGTCTTCCCCTTGCGCAGCAAGGGGGAGGTCCCTGATGTTTTGATCCCCTGGATCCGCGCTGTTCGTCTCCAGCTCCGCGAGCGGTTCCAGTCGGACTTTCCTGTCCTGCGTTTGCACTCTGACAGAGGTGGTGAGTTCTCCTCAGACCTCTTGGCAGCCTACTGTGCGGAGCACGGCATCCGCCAGACGTTCACGCTTCCGGCCTCTCCGCAGCAGAATGGGGTTGCTGAGCGCCGCATTGGCTTAGTCATGGAGGTCGCTCGTACCTCCATGATCCATGCGGCTGCCCCCCATTTTCTGTGGTCGTTTGCGGTCCGGTACGCCGCGCATTAGCTCAACCTCTGGCCCCGTGTCTCCTTGCCGGAGACCTCGCCCACACTGCTGTGGACGGGGAAGGTTGGCGATGCGTCGCATTTCCGGATCTGGGGTGTTCGTGCCTTTGTCCGCGATACCACCGCGGACAAGCTCTCCGCCCGCGCTGTTCCCTGTGTCTTCCTTGGCTTTGTCCCTGACGCGCCTGGTTGGCAGATTTACCACCCCACCTCGCGCCGTGTCTTCCCCTCTCAGGACGTCACGTTCGACGAGTCGGTTCCCTTTTACCGTCTCTTCCCCTACCGCACTGCCCCTCTCCCCCCCCCCGCCGCTCTTCCTCGCTCCAGGTGCTCCCGAGGTAGACCCCCTCCCCGCTCCCGGTCCTGCTCCTTCAGGTGTGTCTCAGGTAGACCCTCCTCCCTTGACTGCACCGGTTGAGGTCACTGGTGACTCGGGTCCTGCTGAGGGTGGTCCTGCTCGGGGTGCTGCTCCTGGGGGTGCTGAGCCTGGGGGTGCTGAGCCTGGGGGTGCGGAGCCTGGAGGTGCGGAGCCTGGGGGTGCAGAGACTGGAGGTGCTGAGCCTAGGTGTGAGGAGTCTGTGGGTGCTGAGCCTGGGGGCGCTGAGGCGTCTGGTGAGCAGTCTCCCTGGAGCGGCCGTCTCCGTAGTCGCTCCGCTGGTGCCTCGCCGCTGCACTCTCGTCGTCGACTCCCTCTCTCCCCACAGCAGCTGCTTGAGTGGTACGCTGGCCGTCAGGGTCGCGCTGCTGGAGCTAGGGGCCCTGCTGCGGGAGGCGCTGGAGCTGGTGACTCTGCCACTGGAGTTGTTTCTGCTGGGGGTTCTGGAGCTGCTGAGGGTGCTGGAGCTGGAGGTTCTGGAGCTGCTGGAGGTGCTGGCGCTGGTGGCGCTGGAGCTGGAGGTTCTGGAGCTGCTGAGGGTGCTGGCGCTGGAGGTTCTGGAGCTGCTGGAGGTACTGGCGCTGGTGGCGCTGGAGCTGGAGGTTCTGGAGCTGCTGAGGGTGCTGGCGCTGGAGGTTCTGGAGCTGCTGCGGGTGCTGGCGCTGAGGGTTCTGAGTCTGCTGTTGCGCGGTTTCCTTGGAGTAGCCGCCTTCGTCCGCGTGTGCCTCTCACCTCGCAGCAGCTGCACGACTGGTACGGTCGCCGTCAGGGTCGCGCTTCTGGAGCTCGGGGCTCTGCCGCTGGAGGTACTTCTGCTGACGTCACTGGAGCTGGGAGTGGTGCTGGTCCCGGAGGTGCTCGTACTGGAGGTACTGGAGCTGCTGGGGCTGGAGGTGCTGAGCCTGAGGGTGCTGCTGCTGGAGGCACTGAGGCTGGAGACCCTGGGACTGGAGGTGCCGGTTCTGGGGGTGCTGCTGTTGGTGGAGCTGGTCCTGGAGGAGCTGGCGCTGAGGGGTCTGGAGCTGCTGGAGGTGCTGGAGCTGCTGGGGGTACTGGAGCTGCTGGTGCTGGTGTCACTGCACAGCCGCGCCTGTTCTTCGCTCCACCGTCTCCGTCGTCTCAGCCACCGCCTGACTCTGTGCTTCGCCAGGTTCTTAGTCTCCCTTCGTCTACTGGTCTTCCGTTACAGCCTGGCTCACCGCTGCCTGCTCCTTCTCCTTACACTGAGCAGCTAGAGGGTCTTACTGAGCGTCGTGAGCCTGCGTCGCGTCCTGTCTCGCCTGTCTGTTCTGGTCGTTCCGGTCGTCGTGTTCCTCGTCCGCGTCTGCCGGCTGTCCCCGACACCCGCCTCGTAGTCCGTCGTCCTTCCTCTCCTCCGCAGCGTGTTCCTCTGCCGTCTCCTCCTGCGTCTTCTCTGCCTGTCGTTGCGGACCCCGAGTCTGACCGGTTTCGTGCTGAGCACCCTACTGTCACGCGTCTGCTAGCCACTGTTGTCACTGACCCGTCGTTTGAGTCTGCTGCTACGTCTGCCTTAGTTGCTGAGCTTGTTGACTTTGCTGCTGCCTGTCGTCTAGACTACGCCGCTAGTCTTGTTGCTGAGTCTGAGTCTGTCTGTCCTCCGTCCGTCGGGGGTGAGTGTGCTCTTGGCACGGACGTCCTTGAGGACAGGCAGGAGGACCTTGAGTGTCTTGCAGCCGCTGCGCCTCATCTCGTGTCCATGCTGCTTGCCCCTGAGGGAGACCCGGATGCTCCAGACATCCCGACCCCGCGCTCTTACGCTGAGGCGATCGCGGGTGAGTACTCCTCTCAGTGGCAGACAGCCATGGATGCAGAGATGGCATCCTGGAAGTCCACAGGCACCTACGTCGACGAGGTTCCCCCACCTGGGGCGAACATCGTCAGTGGCATGTGGATTTTCAGGGTGAAGCGGCCGCCGGGACGCAGCGGTCGTCACAGGGTTACACCTTCAGCCTTGGCTCTGGCTCTGTTTCTTGGCGGTCTACACGCTCGTCCTCTGTTCTCGGCTCCAGTTGTGAGGCTGAGATCTACGCCACAGCCATGGCTGCACAGGAGTTACGCTGGCTCACCTACCTGCTGACCGACCTGGGAGAGCGGCCTCGTTCTCCTCCAGTGCTGTACGTCGACAACAAGGCAGCCATTGCCTTGTGTCAGGAGCACAGACTCGAGCATAGAACGAAGCACATCGCTCTGCGTTACTTCCTGGCTCGAGTGTTGCAGCAGCGGGGTCAGCTTCGTCTTGCTCACGTGGCCACTCGGGCCAACACTGCTGATATATTCACCAAGGCACTTCCATCTGGTGATCATCAGCGCTTTTGTACTTTGTTGGGCCTTGTGCCTACGTTTCCACACTTGCTATAGATTCTGCTTGTACTGTGATCTATACATATATACCTGCATGCTTGTTCTTGTTAGGTAGTGATCACTGTGCTATTGCTGCATATACATCTCTGCATGTGAACTGGCCTTGTGGCCTCTTGCTTGTGCTCAGAGTGTGTGGTGACTTTGTGATCCACCCTGAGCTGTGTTTTGTTTCTTCTCTTGACTGGTCTTGTGACCTTTGCTTGCTCTGGCTATCCCCCATTTCGCCTATGGGGGTGTGTCAAACAATATATGCATGTTTAGGTTATCTAGACTGTATGGGGGTTAGCACTAGGGGGTACAATATTTCTCTCGACATTCTTCTTGTACCCCCCCCTTGACCTAATCACACCATCACTTCCTAGTATTCTAACAGAGAGAAGGCATTGTCTCGCATTCAAGCTAGCCTCCGTGTCCTGCACCGACTTTAGACGCACAGCCCTACCGAATGCACCACATATGCCTATGTTGGGAGCTCTAATCCCGGCCCCTCTGCCCCAGCCTGCCTGCGATGCACCCCCATCTTCCTCATCTCGTGACTGGCCCTCTCCTTACTCCCAACATGCACCATATCTTCGCACAATCCCGGTGCACCGTATCGCGCGGACGGGAAAGGGCGTACGGGACGGCGCGGAAGGAAATTGAAGGACGGGAACGCGAGGACGTGAAGGCGCGGACGGGACGGCGCGTCCTTGTTACAGCGCGGAGAGGAAAGGCGCCACATTTCCGCCAAATCTGGAAACAAACCGGTGAGAAAGAAAAAATGGGGCGAGGCATCTATGGCGAGAGAGGAGCCAATCTACGCTCAGTGACTGGGTGTGAGAGGAGGATGGGGAGGGTATACTGAAATGAGCTTGAGGGGAGGGGAACTACCCCCCTCGGTGAGTGAGTTTGTGAGAGAGTGGGTGTGAGGTGAGTGTGAGGGGGGGTTCAACACCCCCCGCTGGGCTGGATTTGAGAAGAGGGGGAGGGGAGGCTTACCCCCCCTCAGTGAGTGGGTATGAGGTGAGTGTGAGGGGGGGTTCAACTCCCCCCGCTGGGCTGGATTTGAGATGAGGCTGAGGGGAGGCTTACCCCCCCTCAGTGAGTGGGTGTGAGGTGAGTGTGAAGGGGGGTTCAACTCCCCCCGCTGGGCTGGATTTGAGAAGAGGGGGAGGGGAGGCTTACCCCCCCTCAGTGAGTGGGTGTGAGGTGAGTGTGAAGGGGGGTTCAACTCCCCCCGCTGGGCTGGATTTGAGATGAGGCTGAGGGGAGGCTTAGTGCCCCTCAGTGGGTGTGTGTGAGGTGAGTGTGAGGGGGGGTTCAACTCCCCCCGCTGGGCTGGATTTGAGATGAGGCTGAGGGGAGGCTTACCCCCCCTCAGTGAGTGGGTGTGAGGTGAGTGTGAAGGGGGGTTCAACTCCCCCCGCTGGGCTGGATTTGAGCAGAGGGGGAGGGGAGGCTTACCCCCCCTCAGTGAGTGGGTGTGAGGTGAGTGTGAAGGGGGGTTCAACTCCCCCCGCTGGGCTGGATTTGAGATGAGGCTGAGGGGAGGCTTAGTGCCCCTCAGTGGGTGTGTGTGGGGTGAGTGTGAGGGGGGGTTCAACTCCCCCCGCTGGGCTGGATTTGAGAAGATGGGGAGGGGAGGCTTACCCCCCCTCAGTGAGTGGGTGTGAGTTGAGTGTGAAGGGGGGTTCAACTCCCCCTGCTGGGCTGGATTTGAGATGAGGCTGAGGGGAGGCTTACCCCCCCTCAGTGAGTGGGTGTGAGGTGAGTGTGAAGGGGGGTTCAACTCCCCCCGCTGGGCTGGATTTGAGATGAGGCTGAGGGGAGGCTTAGTGCCCCTCAGTGGGTGTGTGTGAGGTGAGTGTGAGGGGGGGTTCAACTCCCCCCGCTGGGCTGGATTTGAGAAGAGGGGGAGGGGAGGCTTACCCCCCCTCAGTGAGTGGGTGTGAGGTGAGTGTGAAGGGGGGTTCAACTCCCCCCGCTGGGCTGGATTTGAGATGAGGCTGAGGGGAGGCTTACCCCCCTTCAGTGAGTGGGTGTGAGGTGAGTGTGAAGAGGTGGCTGGAGAGCTGGGCCTTGCAGCCAACCATTGGGCAGGCGATCATTCGGGGTGTGGCCAATCGGGGCGTATATCTCGCTGCGTGACGGAGAACTGGGGCATCGAGACTGCGATTTACGAGAAAGGGTCGGAGACTCACAAGGCGGTGCAGGATTGGCTTGCGAAGCGTTGTGGGCCAGACAAAATGAAATCGTTGGTGCATGGTGCGTCTAGCTCCATCAACGAATCTTTTCACTCCATCATCCTCAAGTACGCTCCAAAGAGGATTCGGTTTCAGGGAAGTTTTGAAGCACGAGTGGCGCTTGCTGTTCTGCACTGGAACAACGGGATGGATCGGTTGGTGACCGCGTATCGCACGCGCCAACGACAGGTTACTCGGATTCGGCGTGGCAACAAGGATCGGACCTTAGGGGCAATGGATTGGTCATGGCTTGATGGCATAATGGAATCGTGGCTCAAAGCATTGAATGGGGAGGCAGACGATGAGATGGATGGGGAGCCGACGAGTCCTATTCGTCCTGGTGGTACGAGGAGCACCACCAGCGCCCAAGGGGGTTTGGAGTCTGACACGCCTGCACCACTACATGAGGGTAGAGACCCCCCTCGTCCACTGACGCGACCACGGACGCGACGTTGTCTGAGTAAGTTGTTCATCTTTACAAACGCAAAATGCTCACTCTCCTCTCTCCTCATAACATCCTGTAACAATACCGTTGAAATAACAATATGATGACCCTTTCTGCGATCGTTATGTAGGTGACATCTCCAACTACCCACGCTAAGCGTGGCCGGCCCTCACTCGGCGTTCGTCGTGGACCCTTACCACGTCAACACACAAAGCCTGCTATTGGAACCCATGCTACAAAGCCGGTAAAAAACCATAAACCAGCAATCCAACTCACATTCTCCTAAACCCCTCCCCTCCATGCCATTTCCCATCCGACCCCCCCTCTATAACTTCCTAACCCTTGGGGCCCGCCTTGTCATCTGTCAACTATCATGCCATTCCCCTTGCCCATGCAGACCAGGAGTGCTCTTGGTGAGGCTTCAGCACAACTACCACTTCAGCAGCAGCAGCCAGAGATAACAGGGACATCTGCCTCCTCTGCCCCAGCACAACCACCTGCAGCGCGGGCCGGCGTAGCAGGAGTGGGGGCAGATGGCTCAGCAGCTACACAATCGGTGGCAGTAAAGGCAGTGGGGATGCGATCAGCCTACTATTGAGGTAATTGTCGCACCACTCGTGTTCGCCACTCTCATACCTCATCTTTTCACCGATCTCTTACAACCCATCCTCCTTCCACCCTTACTCCCTCAATTATTATTACATTCGTACTCTCGATCCACTCATATGTATCGACGACAGTCTCATCAAATTCTCCCAAGACATGTGGGTTCATGCTAGTTCAGTGTGTACAGTTCCCCCGTCGTGATCCTTTTTTCTCCCCTTCCATTACCACATCTTGCCCCTTCATCCCTGTTGCTCTTACCTAAACCAACTCACCATTCCTCTCTGAATGTGCACACACCTCATGACCTCCATCTTCATCTTCTTCCCTGCCACCGTTGCCACTCTCCCTCCCGTTCCCCTCTCCTCGTCGCGCCCCACCCCCAACCTATCAGGATTTCTCTCAAATCAAACCCAGGCCCTGTTCGTTAGTCATCGAGACTCATTGCTCCATTTCCCCCTCGTTCCTCTCTCCTGTACCCTTACCTCCTTGCCACCTCGTCTGCCCTGCCCCACCCCCACCCGCCAGGATCTTCTCACCAACCTCCTCCCAGCCTCTCTAGTCAAATCCTACCCGTATTATGGTGGTGCGGACCCTCCTGCCCCCGTTCCTGCTGTCACCGCTTCAAGAACCCGGTGTATCACGTTTTTACATTCCTTTGACAATTGCCCAAAGTATCCGGGTGGTTACGTACCCTTTAGAGGGTCTTCAGTATGCTGACCAAATAGCTATTATTAAGAAGCGCGATCTGTTTTTTTGACAGCCAATTTATTTCAGTTACTAGGTAGCCAATATGACCCCCTCAGTGTCGGAAACGAAATACCGAAAAGTCGGTACGCCTTCCCTTCACTTCAGGCTCTCTCTGGATGTATCCAACGACAAGCCAGATCTCTGTCTTGCCACATACAGGTGCACATGATGTTGGCGGGTATACAAACTCAACTATGCACAATCACACGAAACCATACTAAATATGGCAGGATTCACAACACCGACAACTATCCCTAAAACATGTACGGTACGGTACTGTGTGTTTCAGTGGCATCGTTGGCCAATACTAGACCAACAACACTACATCCGATACCATGGATGCACCCATGTGCTTGCTCCAACCCTGTTATTGTCGCAGCAGGTAATCGTCCGGCTAAGACAGTGCACATTACCACTTTTCTTCTTCTCAACGAACGGATGGAAAGTAGTGGGGATGCAGATGCATGTTGTGGGCCGTAAGTCATGTGTGTGATGTGGGGATAACCCTGCAGAAGGGGGGGGGGAGTGGGTATGGGCCGTGAGTCCATACATGAGACGAACGTTGGATGGGCGGTGGGGAGAAAAGCGGGATTGGGTGTGATGGGCCAAGGATAGCTTGCAAAGAATGGATGGGTGGAGAACGGCAACGAGGTATGCAACAGAGCGCCACAGAGGGACACCGAGGAGAGGCAAAGACAGTCTAGGGGTGGCAGGGGAAAAGATGGAAGAGTGAGCAGCTCACAGTGCACGCAAATGACAGAAACAGCAAGGACAGTGTGAGCAAGAGGACAGGGTGAGCAAGATGACAGGATGAGCAAGATGACAGGATGAGCAAGATGACAGTATGAGCAAGATGACAGGATGAGCAAGATGACAGTATGAGCAAGATGACAGGATGAGCAAGATGACAGTATGAGCAAGATGACAGGATGCGCAAGATGACAGTATGAGCAAGATGACAGGATGCGCAAGATGACAGTATGAGCAAGATGACAGTATGAGCAAGATGACAGTATGAGCAAGATGACAGGATGAGCAAGATGACAGTATGAGCAAGATGACAGTATGAGCAAGATGACAGGATGAGCAAGATGACAGTATGAGCAAGATGACAGGATGAGCAAGATGACAGGATGAGCAAGATGACAGGATGAGCAAGATGACAGTATGAGCAAGATGACAGTATGAGCAAGATGACAGTATGAGCAAGATGACAGTATGAGCAAGATGACAGAGTGAGCAAAGGTAATGGGTGAAAAAGGGGGGGGGGAAGAACAAGGAGGGGAACGGAGCGAAGGAGAATGGGTTATGGGAGCCAATGGGCGACAGGAGAGAGAGAGGGACGGGTGTGAGAGAGGGACGAGTGTGAGTGAGGGACTAGGGTGTGAGAGAGGGACGGGTGTGAGAGAGGGACGGGTGTGAGAGAGGGACGGGTGTGAGAGAGGGACGGGTGTGAGAGAGGGACGTGTGTGAGAGAGGGACGGGTGTGAGAGAGGGACGGGTGTGAGAGAGGGACGGGTGTGAGAGAGGGACGGGTGTGAGAGAGGGACGGGTGTGAGAGAGGGACGGGTGTGAGAGAGGGACGGGTGTGAGAGAGGGACGGGTGTGAGAGAGGGACGGGCGTAAAAGAGGGACAGGCGCGAGAAAGGGACGGGGCCTGCTGCTGCTGCTGCCCCGCCTGCCCAGGCCTGATCTGATGTGAGTCCATCCCTGTCACCCCCATGGCCGTGGCAGGCCGAGGGGCGAGCTCTGGTGCGGGCTGGCCTGCTGCGTGTGCCGCCACGACGCGTCAACGCTCCACCTGAGCTGCCAACTTCCCCACACTCACCCGGGCAGTCACGCGGAGAGATGGGCAGAACGATGGGGGGCAGAGGGTGGCAGGAGGAGACATAGAGTAAGGCACATGGGGAGGCACTAGGGGAAGCACAGGGCGGGTGTTTTCCACTCCCCCCGTCTATCCTACCCCCCATTCCCCTTCCAATTCCCTACCTCCTTACTCACCCCAGCCCCCCCCCCCCTTTCCCCCCCCCAATTTCCCCAACCCTTCCCTCCCATCATGCTCTCCCCCAGGCGAATGAGCAGGGCGCCACGACACGTGTCAGTGAGGCACTGCCCCTGCCAGCTGGCATCTGTGCCGCCCGGCTGGCCGTGCTCCTGGAGGGCGGCGCGCAGGGCGCGGGTGCGGCGGGGTTCCCCATGGCAGCTGAGCACACACACACCAGGGAATCCAGTGGGGGGGGGGGGGGGAAGAGGAGGGGAGAGGGGGAAGGTGGAAGGGGGAAGGGGCTGCTGGATTTGCCGTTGGATGCGAAATCATTGCTTCACACAGCTGTGGACTTGCCCAAGGCATGACTGGGTCTGCGGGAGGATGGTTGGTGCCAGTGCTTGCACCACCCCCCTCAGCAGCACGGATGCTCACCGCATGGCACAACACAATGTGAGGCAGCAGCAGGTACAGTTTTAGTGAGTGCAAGGGCCAGCCATGGATATCACGATTTCAAACGGCTCATTTTGGTGCCACGCAAGCGTGTTACCCGGGCGCGAGGAGAAGCGTGGCGGTGGCACGAGCATCCACTCACCCAACACCTGTGGTACCTTCTCCAGCCCTTTCTACAGCAGGTGCTGCCGCAGCTGCTCCCCCCTCCAAACCACAGCAGGGGGGAGCAGAGGGGCGGAGGGGGTGGAGGGGAGTGGAAGGGGTGTAAAGGGAAGGGGTAAGTGGTGGAGCGGAGCCGCAGCGGATAGGTGATTAGTGCGAGGTGAACAGTGCGGGGGGCTTGAGACATTGGGCATGGTGCATGGTGCATGGCGCAGTGGGTTGGGCATACCCTCTTGAACATGTTGAACTCTGCATTCAATAGGCCAAGCATGCGGCAAGGTCATGTGCAGGGGAGGGGCGATCGGGGTGGCAGGGGGAAGGGGCCACATGTTGGTTACGAGACAAGAGGATGAGTGAGGACAAGCTATCCCACACTTGCGCCATATCTTGCGCCATGGAGGGCGCGGTGGAGGTTGAGCTCGAGCACGTTGAAGCCCGGCCCTCCAGCTGCAGCGCGTCCACCACGTGCGCCATGCCCTCCATGTCCACCTGCTCATACGGCTGTCCCGTCCGTACCTTACGGGACGACCTTACCTTAGGGGAGGCCTCAGTGAGTAGGTGACGGGAAGGTATCGCGCGGGCGAAGGGAATGAATGGGGAGGGCGATGGGCAGGATTCGCGAGGGCGACGGGATGGACCCCCACAAGCGACGGGAAGGGTTCGCGAGGGCGACTCGAAGGAATCGCGAGGGCGACGGGCAGGATTCGCGAGGGCGACGGGATGGGTTCGCGCGGGAGACGGGATGGAATCGCGAGGCCGAACGGGAAAAATAGCGAGGGCGACGGGAATGGTGTGCGGTTTCGCGCGGGGTGGACGAGTGAGGGTGAAGGAAAGGGTAGGCACTGAGCGAGGGGATAGGAAAGCGAAGAGGGCTGGAAGGGAAAGCGGCGAGCGACGGGATGGGATTGTTTAGATTTCACTTTAGGCGTGGGCGACGGGCTATGGGAAGGGAGCGCCACCTAAACGGCGACGGGAGTGGAGGCGCGCGCAAAGAGCGGGGGAAGTGAGGGCAAGTACACCGGCGGCTGAGCCTAAAGGGCGTGAACGGCGAGGCGCGGTCGAGGCAGGTGACGGCGATCATGGGAACAAGCGGAGGTGGAAAGACGACATTGCTCGGCGAAGAGAAGGTCGCGCGGCAGATCGACCTGCTTGGACTGGCATAAGTGGCGGAACGCTGATCGCCGGCGAAAGGAATAGGTAAGCGTCATTCACGGGAGAAGCTGATAGTCGTTGGGTAATGTACTACATTCTGCGCGTACTACGCCACCTGCGCTCGGATTACGTGCTGAGGGGAGTGACTATGGTAACTAGTATTAGCGTTGTCCACAAATTTATATATCAAGTGCCTGGAGTTGGCCTCATTATTCTATAGGCGTAAGCAGAGTCTGCGGGCTAAGGAGACTAGTATCGTCGAGTCTAGAAAGGTACTCGAATGCTTCAAGTTTCCGAAAGTGTGAACAGTACTTCAAGTTTTGTGTTCTTCTGGCGATCGGTGTCACTGTTTTGGTTGTAGTTTTACCCAATCAACATCGAGCGCACGAATCTCTTCTCGGGAGGTCACGATAGATCAGTGTCCCAAAACGGGTTACCTTGTTCCTCTGCGAAGTCAAGTTCAAGAATCTTGAACTTGAACACTTGCTATTCTAGACTCAGGCTTTAACTGGAAATTCCAGATACGGTGCATGGATTGGAGTTCCATATCTGGGGTGCGTCCAGTTTGATGGTGAGGGCGATTTCTTTGGCGCAAGCAGGATTAATCTATCGGTCTCCGACTGTTGAAGGTGGGTCTAGATTTAAAACGAAGACGCTATTGGTTTGTATACCGTAATAGCAGTTCAAACTCCATGGGTGTGCGTTGGCGCTCAGTTCAACGCCGCACTTCGTCAGTTGCACTGTGGAGAGGAAGTTGGTTTTACTGAGGACAACACTCACAAGGTGAAGTTTGTGTCCAGGGCAGATTTTATCATAGTAATTACTATGATTACTCTGAAATTTCAGACAACTGAACTATTCAAATCTGATTTTTTCAGATAAAGTCATTTCTGTTATGAACACTGATCCAATTAGAGTATCCATTTATTCATCCCTGTATTTTTTTCCATAGGCTCAGACTTATCTGTTTCTCGAGCCTGGCTTAACAGAGTATCGATTTAGTGGGTCCTAAATGCAAGTTTATCGAGACGAAGCTTCCAGGAAATTTCCTCCCGGCATACCCACCTCCGAGATGGCAGCGAGTGCCAGCACGTGAGCAAAGTACACTGCACCAGCTGGGGACACCGAATACACTCAATCTGCGACAAAGTCACGCAGGTTAAATTGTTGCGTGATTAGGGTAACCGTCGAAGCGTGAAATTGAAAGGAGCCTGAAAACGTTCTTTAGCGGATCGCTCAACGAATCGGTGAATTTCACAGACAATCGGGTGGGAGTGGATATTTTGCCACGGGTAAAATAGCGCACTTTTTTGTTCTGAAATTGGGTTTTTTCCGCGCCCAAACGTGTGAACAACTAAATCGTTACTGTTTTGTAGGTTGAAGGTTTCTTCTGCCAAATAAAGTTATGGAGGCACTGCCAGGCGCGCCAAGTAACAGTCCGTGCCTACTGCCAGCTCAGCGGTGCGGCAGCTCGGCCAGTTGGCACTTGCAAGGTCGCGCCAGGTCGCGCCACTTGCATTTTCAACATTCCTTCTCGCCAACAAACCAAAAGAAAAAAAAGCAATAACGCGACTCTGATTTCATTTCCCCAACACTGAAAGCCTAGAGTTGTGTTTTTGTCGCCCCCGATTTTGTATAACAGGCTCAGACTAGCCGTGTTGTGGCCGAAGTGCCATCAGAGTAAAAACAAAATTGCGGGCGTTTTTTGAAACGTCAGCCATGTTTGTGTCCTTTGGCTCCATAAGGATTCCGCCGATTTTGTAAGCCTGCTGTTTGTTGTCGTTGGTGGCAATGCATTCGCATGAGTTCGTGAGTGAGCGCAGGTTTACGATGAAGAGTGAGGATCTGACAAAGTGTTGGCCGCCGCAACTGCCTATATACATTTTGTTGTACCGGTATGAGAAGAAACGAGGAATGAGAATGACTAAGTGAAAGTTGGGTACAAGAAGCAAACCCTAGAAAACTGTACCCCATATGTGCTACCCCACTATAGCCTACAGTAGCTATGTCATATAAATCTGACACACCCCCATAGGCAAAGTGGGGGAGAACAAGGGGTCACAAGACCAGTCAAGCAAAGCAAAGCAAAGCAAGCTCAGGGTGGATCACAAAGTCACCACACATTCCGAGCACAAGTTCAAGGCCACAAGGCCAGTTCACAAGCAGGAGTACACATATATATAAAAAAGGCTAGACAAGCAAGAGCAGGTATATATATATGTAACAGTACAAGCAAGGTCAAGAGGTGAGCAAGTGAGGCAAGGTAGGCACAAGGCCCAGCTGAGTACAGAAGCGCTGATGGTCACAAGGCGCAAGTGCCTTGGTGAAGATATCAGCAGTGTTGGCCTCAGAGGCCACGTACGCAAGACGCAGCTGACCACGCTGCTGCAGCTCACGAGCAAGAAAGTAGCGGAGAGCAATGTGCTTCGTTATGTGCTCCAGTCGCTGCTCCCGACACAAGGCCAGCATGGCCTTGTTGTCTACGTACAGCACTGGAGGAGAACGAGGCAACTCTCCGAGGTCAGTTAGCAGGTAGGTGAGCCAGCGAAGCTCCTGTGCAGCCATGGCTCCTGCGTAGATCTCAGCCTCACAACTGGAGCCGAGAACAGAAGACGAGCGAGTAGCCCGCCACGAAACAGAGCCGGAACCAAGGCTGAAGGTGTAACCCTGTGACGACCGCTGCGTAGCCTGGTCGTCAGCCCAAGAAGCGTCTGCGTGCCCAGTAAGGACCACTGGACTCTGCCCTCCAAGCACAAGCCCCATGCCCGACGTACTGCACAAGTAGCGCAACACCCTCTTCGCTGCAGCCATGTGCTCCGGTCTGTGTCTCCCAGGAGCAACATAGCGTGCAAGAATGCTAAGAGGGTATGCAAGGTCAGGTCGTGTGCAGGTCATCAGGTACATGAGGCAGCCAACAAGCTCTGGGTACGGGCCACTCGACTCTACGGACTCATCCGAAGGCAGAGCTGAGAGCGAGTGGCGAGTAGGCAGAGGAGTGGCCTGAGGCGAGGAGTACGTGAAGCCGAAGCGCTGAAGGACCTGCTGCACCATGTGTGACTGAGTCAGGGTAATGGTGCGGCGTGCTCTGTCCCGAGTGATCTGCAAGCCAAGGTAGCTGCGCAGTTCACCCAGGTCAGTGCACGTGTGTCTCTTCTGCAGCTCGGACTTCACGTGGGCTAGTCCTGCAGTGTCAGCTGTGGCAAAGACCAAGTCGTCGACGTACACGAGGATGTAGAACGGCGGCAAAGAAGTGTCGGTGCGCAGAAACAGCGACGGGTCGGCAGTAGAGGGAGCAAACCCAAGAGCCGCAAGTGTAGTCCTCAGTGTGTCGTGCCACTCACGCGGTGCCTGGCGGAGACCGTAGACTGGCCGTCGTTGGCTCCACTGGGTGCCAGGAGGAAAAGACCCAGTGAAGCCAGGTGGGCGACGCAGCCAGATCTCCTCGTGCAGGCTGCCCTGCAAGAAAGCAGTGCTGAAGTCAAGAGAGTGTAGCTCGTAGTCACGGTGAGCAGCTACGTGCAGCAGTACCCGAAGAGAGGTCATCTTCGGGGTGGGAGAGAAGGTCTGAAAGTAGTCAACTCCCTGCCGCTGACTGAAGCCACGAGCCACGTAACGCGCCTTGAAGACAGGCGGAGAACCCGGCGGTCGCTTCACCCTGAAAATCCACATGCCACTGACGATGTTCGCCCCAGGAGGGGGAACAGCGTCAACGTAGGTGCCTGTGGACTTCCAGGAAGCCATCTCTGCGTCCATAGCTGCCTGCCACTGAGAGGAGTAGGGACCCTCTATCGCCTCCGCGTAAGAGCGCGGAGTCGGGATGTCAAGTGCATCCGGGTCTCCCTCAGGGGTAAGCAGTACGGACACGAGATGAGGTGAAGCAGCGGCCAAGCACTGGAACTCCTCCTGCCTGTCCTCAAGGACGTCCGTGCCAAGGGCACACTCACCCCCGACGGACGGAGGACAGACAGACTCAGACTCAGCAACAAGACTGGCGACGTAGTCTAGGCGACAGCGAGCAGCAAAGTCGACGAGCTCAGCAACTAGGGCAGACGCAGCAGTGGACTCAAAGGAAGGGTCAGTGACAACAGTAGCAAGGAGACGCGTGACAGTAGGACTGGC